ATTCTACCTGAGCTCTGCACATAGAGTCCGTAGAATCTTCTGAATGATCTTTATTAGAAATATAGTGATGGTACATGTTTTCTCCTCAGGATAATACTAAATATCGTTCCGAAGAATCCAGACGGATACAGTGCACTAAGTGTGGGAATTCACATGTTTGGGTGTGCACCAACAGAAGTAAGGCCAAAGCAAGATGGTGTCAGGTCTGATTTTGATCCATTACATCCTGATTATTAAATTCCTTCTTTCTCTCAACTTCATGCCCACTTTACATGAATTTTTCATCTTATCTGGAAACAAGATTGTTGTCAGTTTCATCAAGCGAAGGACGGCGATGGATGGGTCGAATATAAGGGGTCTTTAGTTTTTGACAGGCCTCAAAAAGTAAGCTAATAATTTTCCCGACTTCATTTCATTATTTGCATTTAGTTTCTGAACATTGATCTTGTCTTCACAGGTGGAAATCCCGTGTGCTTTCGTTTGTGCGGAGAGTAAAATATTTGACGTATCGGAATGGGCTATATGTCAGGTCAGTATACTCTACAAAATATATTCTCGGTACACATAATTCATCAAGACTGAGAAGGATTGTTTTCAGCTCCACTTTCTTTACCCAACAAACTTTATATCATGCAGGGGCTTATCAATTGAATTTGTTTAACTGCTGCATCAATCTTCAGGTTAGGCGGAGTAAGGTGGGTCGAAGGGAGGTTTGTTGTTCTTCAGGTTAGGTTTGGGCGTTGAAGGATTGAGACATTAATGTTGCCATTAGTGGAGACCCAAATGCTTGGCGAGAGAAACGTTTGTTGCGGTTCCTAAACAATGAGACAAACCGGTAAAAGCATCATTTTGTTTTAGTGTTAACATTTATGCTTTTGTTTGTGATTATGCAAATTGGGTTATACTTGCGCGTTGAGTATTTTGTGCTTGTTTTGTGCAATTAGTTGGCTGGATTTTGATTTTGATTCGTTGAATGAGTTTGGCAACAACTGGGTACTAGTATATTGAGGTTAATAACACTATTATTGATTAAGTTTCATGAAAAACTTTGTTGCCGATAACAGGGACTATAGGTTCATGACTGCTTGCATCTGCTGCATTATCAAAGTGTCGTAGCATTCTCCTGCATACATGTTCACGTGACAGTATAGTTTTGTGATGCTACTTTGGTTTCGATTCACACTTAGAGCAATTGTGATTAATTGATATTAAATGGTTGCAAACTCGGTTGTCATATTATGCTAAATTCGTCACTTTTCGATTTCGATTCAGTACACTATCCATTTCAATCGCGTTTTTGAAGCTGAAAATTATTACATATTTATGTTTGAAATTGATGATAAAAATAGTTTGTTTTCATATTCAGTGTGTATCTTGCAACTCAGTTTTGCTGCAGAAATGATTAAGTTTCTCAATTGGTTCTACTTCTTTGCAAATTTAGGATCTTTGATGGCAGTGACAGTTCTTGTGTTTATACAAGATCATCAAGGTAGAGATTGGGGTTATGGTATATGTGTCTGTGCTATTGTGCTAGCACTTGTTGTGTTTTTGTGTGGCACCATAAATGGTGTAATAGTAATTTATCACTAGATTCTTGACCAGTGCTATGCACGGGTCTGATGTACTGTTTTCGAAACTTATTGATAACTGACATTTAATTGTGGTAGATGAGTTTTTTATTGATGTTTATGCATAACTTGACAGGGAGAGCAGTTGAAGCGGGAGATTTTTGTGGCATAACTTAACAATTTCTTTTTTTTTCTTAGTTGAAGCCATCCAAAAGTCGTACCGCGGTTGCTATCAATAGTGGAGTCTGCAATTAGAGACTGAATTGCTGGAATAACAATGGCAAGTCCTATGCCATTTAAACCTCTTCTTACTCAATTCACTTTTTCATGGAAAGAAAACTGTTTAACAATATCTCATTTGTAGAAGGTCTAAAGTCAAAACTGTTTGAAATTTGAAATGTTTTGAACCACACACACTCATACAATCTCTTTAACAATCACTAATGCATCTTCTTTCCAAAACTTTCTTATACTCATGCCCATACCAATCCAAGTCAACCCTGAAACACCATTTGGGTCTACAACTCTATACACATAGGAGATTCATTTTCTATATCACATTTATCCATCATTCATAGAAACCAAATTGTAAAGATGAAACCAGAAACACTCACACTGGTGCTCGTGAATCTAGCAGGCATCATGGAGAGAGCCGACACATCATTACTACCAGCAGTATACAAAGAGATCGACGCTGCTCTCAACGCCGACCCCACTGCGTTAGGCTCTCTCACTCTCTACCGATAGTCCTTCTGTTATCCTCTAGCCACTTACCTCGCTACGCGCCACAATCGTGCACATGTTATTGCTCTCGGTGCTTTTCTTTGGGCTGTTGCTACATTCTTCGTCGCAATCTCTTCCACCTTCTTGCAGGCACTCATTTTCATATTTTCTTTCTCTTTTCTTCATAATGAAAAATGAAGAAATTTTGATATGTAGTATAGTATATTAACTTTGTTGCATGATATATAGGTGGCGATTTCAAGAGGTTTAAATGGCATAGGACTTGCCATTGTTATTCCAGCAATTCAGTCTCTAATTGCAGGCTCCACTATTGATAGCAACCGCAGTACGGCTTTTGGATGGCTTCAACTAACAATTCACCGATGCATAACTTAACAATTTCTTTTTTTTTCTTTCCATGAAGAAAAGTATATCCACAGTGATAGTACAGAAATATTTTTCTCATGATTTTGCAGCAATTCTCATATGTATTATACTTGTCTCACTTTTTGCTATCGTTAGTAACTCAATTTGAATGTGCAGCCAATGAAGAGGGACAAAACATCACTCAAGGAGCAGCGTCTTAGGTACTTTACGCCGAGAGAGGTGAGTGGATTTTCTTTATTCTCAGGGATATCATGCGCTTTTGTAAATTTTTGTCTATCATGCGTAAACACGAACACATGCATAAGAATGCACGTACCTATAAAATTATATTGTTTTGATTTCAAGCAATATTACTAATTTAAAAAGTATTTGTCATCCTGCAACTAGGTTGCAGACCTACATTCTTTTCCTGAAGATAAGGCTGAACTTTGGTTGAATGTCTATGGAGTACTTAGTTTTGTGGATAAGGCTGAGTGATGTTGTTTATGTGTCTCTATGGTTTCTATGTGGGGTACGGAGATGGAAACATTACATTAATGTTCTCTTTTTCTGCACTTACTGCAGGTTGAGTTTATGTGAATGTGTTAAGTTTTGCCTGTAGTTTCTGAATAGGAATTGTTGTTTGTGATTTTTTGGAATGTAGTTTTTGATTAAAAGTTCAACATTGATTTTTGTATAAGACATAAAAGTGTTTATAAAGCTTAAACAAATACAATAATTTAATTGTGGATTAGAAAGATGGACCAAAAACATGGATCAATAACTAAAGGCCCAAAGAATTTCATTTAAAATTTTAATTAATTAATTAATTATAAAAATTAATAATAAAATATTAATCATTAATTAATTAATTAAAATAATATTAATAAGTTAATTATCCTAGTCAATAAAAAAGTCTTAAATAAATTTTTAAAAATGACCTGCCATTGACACGTCATCTAAGATAGTACCACATCATTAAAAAAAATTTAAAATTGGGGAGGGGACTAAAATCAAACTCAAAACTTAAAAAAAGGACCAAAATCGTGGTTTTTAAAATGGGAGGACCAAAACCAAAAAAAATACAAAATAGGGGGACCATAGTTGCAATTAAGCCATATTTTTATAAACGGAAACAAGTTTCAAATATTTTTATAAACGGGAATAAGTTACAAATATTTTTATCAACATGAATAACTCACAAATATTTTTATATATGAGAATGAGTTACAAATATTTTAATAAACAAAAATACGTTACAAATATTTTTATAAATGAGAATAAGTTCCAAATATTTTTATAAACAGAAATAAATTATATATAAATACTTTTATAAACAGAAATAAGTTATAAATATTTTTAATATAAATATTTGTTTATTTCTTAACTCTAAAATAATATTTGTTTTTTTTAAATGTTATTAAAAACTTAAAAATAACTTAGATAAATAAATTTAAATTACAATTGATTGATAATTTTTTATTATAAATGTAGGTAAACGAGTATGTGTATGGATACTTGAATACTCATAGGATAAAGGTACAAATGTTGGTTCTCACTCAAGTATTGGCTCGAATACTATATTTATATGATATGACAATCATCATTTAAAATATTTTTTCGACATTATATGACTCGTGCGAACGTGCGAATAGATGACTACTTTATTATTTCCTTTAATACAATCATGTTACAACATCATTAATACTAATTTAATCGAGTATATATATATATATATATATATATATATATATATATATATATATATATATATATATATATATATATATATATATATATATATATATATATATATATATTTGTATGAAATGTACTGCACCGTACTTATATATTTTTTAACATTTTTATGTATATCCTTTTTGATAAATTATATTAATATTTATATGACAAGTATCATTTAAAATATTTTTCTCTTAATATATACTTATTTTTATATATATTTTCAATCATAACTATATAATATTTATTTAATATTTATATAGGCATTACATAACTCGTGCGGCTAGTTACTCAAATATTTAATCGTAGAAATGAATGAAATTACATTTTTGTGTAGGTTATCTTCTACCATATCATAAAACTTGTGTCCATTATAATTATGATTTAAGTGAAAGTTGTACCAAAAAGTGAAAGGCATATACAAGTAGAAGACTATATTAGATATGCTTAAAAGGAAAGACAAAGAAGCATACAAGAAAACGTCACCGGTCATTGATAATGCATGTTGCGTGTTGCCGCATATAGATACCCCAAATCTTATAACTTCTCTTTCTCTCTATATATTTAAGACAGTATCATAACTCTTAAGGACATAAACTCAAAATGTGTGGTTGGTGGCAGTGCATAATGGTTTTCATCAATTTTCTTTTGATCGGAGCAACCATATTGATGGTGGAGCCGGTGGCGGCATTGGACGGTGTTCCACTCGGAACAAATTCTCGATGGATTGTGAATAAAAATGGACAGAGAGTGAAGCTTGCATGTGTGAATTGGGTGTCTCATTTAGACGCTGTTGTGGCTGAAGGGCTCAGTAAAAAGCCAGTAGATGAAATTTCAAAAGGAATAAAAACCATGGGCTTTAACTGTGTTAGGCTAACTTGGCCAACTCTTCTTGCCACTGATGACACCATTTCTAATCTACACGTTAGAAAATCATTGGAGAACCATGGCCTCAAAGACTCTATTAATGGTTTTCAGTCCAATAATCCTTCCATTGTTGATCTTTCACTCATTCAAGCTTTTCAGGTACTACTAATTCAACTATTAATTGTTAGTTAATTCAGTTTATTAATTATTCTTTCACTCATTTCAAAATCAAATTTTGAGTTGATTAGGATAATGTTTTGTGATGATTCTAGGCAGTTGTAAAAAGCCTCGAGAACAATGATGTGATGGTGATTTTGGACAACCACCTAACAATGCCAGGATGGTGTTGTGGTAATACCGATGGCAATGGATTTTTTGGCGACCAATATTTCGACCCGAATCTATGGATCCAGGGCCTAACCAAAATGGCCACTCTTTTCAATGGAGTTCCTAATGTGGTAGGTATGAGCTTGAGGAATGAACTCAGAGGCCCAAAACAGAATGAAAACGATTGGTACAGGTAACAATTACAATACAAGTACACTAGACTAGATTAGATTATGAAGCACGAATATTCTGAATGTAATTACAAATATCGGTTGATGATACTAAATTATTGTTTGTTATGAATTAAAGGTATATGGTGCAAGGAGCAGAAGCAGTTCATGCCGCAAATCCAAACGTTCTTGTAATTTTATCTGGATTAAACTTTGCTAAAGACTTATCATTCATTTCCAGAAGACCAGTGAAGGTGTCATTCAAAGAGAAACTAGTATTTGAGGCACATAGGTATGCGTTCACTGATGGTCAAGTTTGGGAAAATGAAAACCCAAATCAAGTATGTGGACGAGTAACTCAAAATATGAAGGACACATCTGGGTACTTGGTGGATCAAGGATATCCATTGTTTATGAGTGAGTTTGGGGTTGATTTGAGAGGTACCAATGTCAATGACAACCGTTATCTTAGTTGCTTTATAGCATATGCAGCTGAACTTGATTTGGATTGGGCCTTATGGACATTGCAAGGTAGTTACTACATTAGGCAAGGGGATGTTGAACATGAAGAGGTTTATGGTATTCTTGATTTGAAGTGGACACAAGTTCGAAATATTGACTTCTTGCATATGATTAATTCCGTTCAACTTCCATATAAAGGTAACAGTATAACGTCTTTTTAATCGCCATATATGATATTGTTTAGTTTTAGCACTTTTTAGGGCTTGAATTGTTTTTGTTTTTTTCAATATTGTTCAGGTCCGGGCATAATACAAGGAGATCCATACAAACTTATATTCCACCCGTTAACGGGTCTTTGCGTGATATGGAAGTTTTCAGAAAAACAGTTGAAGTTGGGTCCATGTTTTTCTTCTGATGGTTGGGACTACACACCACAAAACATACTATTAAGAAAAGAAACAAATGAATGCATAAAAGTCGTGAATGAAGGGAAACCTGCAACACTTAGCACAAGTTGTTCGGGTGATGACTCAAAATGGGACATGATCTCAGATTCTAAACTGCACCTTTCATCAAAAACATCAAATGTTTGTCTAGATGTGGATGGAAACAACAACATCGTGACCAATGCTTGTAAATGCTTGAGCCAAGATAAATCATGTGACCCTGCAAGCCAATGGTTTAAGATTATCGATAGCGGTAAGAGGTCAATTCAGTCAAGTTCAACATTTTCCAAGACTTTTATGAAACCATTGATCTCAACCTAAGTTTATTTTAACTATTTTAGGGTAATTTGGTTTACCATGTGAACTCAATAAAAGTTCAATTTATAATTATTTTAATGGAAGAGATGTTCTAAAAATATTTATTATAATTTTATAATGGTTATATATATTCAATATAGATTTCTTAAATATCATAAGGATGGTTGAGTGGTAACACATGTTTGTTTAATGCATGTTGTTGCAAGTTTGATTTTGCATATTTTTTAAATAAAACTCATTACTTAATAATGGGTAAAAAATTTAGTATCTTCATAGGACTTGATATTTCTTGAAATCATTCAACAATAACCATGATTCTAAGTTAAGATTTTTTAAGTTTGAAGTAACATATAAATAAAATTGTTGAGAGTAGACTCGATAACTAATTTCTAATGTAGTATCAAGATCAATTACACATATTTAAATTATTGTTGATACATATTTGCTCTCCATTCATCTTACATTATTTATGATTAAATAACTATGAGATATCAATCATATTGTTTGAATAACAATTTTAGTGTCATTTAATCATATTCATATATCAAGATTTTAAAATCATTTTTTAATCTCAATATAAACTTAAAATTTGTGTTGTGAATGATTAGTTGATAAAAGCATCACATTTAATTCTTGAATTATTTCTTTTCGTCAACAATATATTTCTCATGGTGATCATCGTTAAAAGTGATTTTTGTCATTCAAGTATTATAATCGATTAATATAGATTTGTAACCGATTACAGTAAAAACAAAAACATTTATGGGTTGATGAACAAGGCAAAATATCGAAGTTATAACTAGTTATTATTGAAAATATTTTTCATTGTAGTATCAGTTGTAACCGGTTACAGACCCGTGTTTTTTGTGTTTTCAGTTGTGTACTTATATGTTTTGAGTCTCAATCATTTTGTAACACTTGTATAAATACCTTGGAGGCATTCTCATCTCAAGCTAATGATAATATTCCTCTCTCTCCCTCTCTCTCTCTCTCTCTCTCTCTCTCTCTCTCTCTCTCTCTCTCTCTCTCTCTCTCTCTCTCTCTCTCTCTCTCTCTCTCTCTCTCTCTCCACACTCTAATTTTTTCCATCATTCACCAATTTTGTAGTTTCAACTTCTAACATTTGGCATCAAGATTCTGATTCTGATCCACAAACACTTAGTGTGCAACATGAATTCCGTCTCCAATAAAAGAATCAATGCAAGCCTACCCATCTTTGATGCGAAGAATTACGACAAATGGTGCAAACAAATGAAAGTGTTGTTTGGGTACCAAGTGATCAAGAACAAGGTGACTCCCCTTGTCTAAGATACAACAGATCACAACAAGTAACGCATAAGGAAGAAAAGAAGAAAGATTTCAAGACGATGTTTTTAATCCATCAATATATGGATGGTGACAACTTTGAGAAAGTTCGTGATTGCGAATCATCAAATCAAGCATGAGAAATCTTAGAGAAGACATATGCAGGGACTGAAAAGACGAATATGGTGAGGTTACAAACTCATAAGCGTCAACTTGAGTTGATTCAAATGGAAGAAAATGAGACAATTAACAATTTCACAACAAGAATCACTCTATTTGTGAATCAATTGAAGGCATGCGGAGAAACAGTCATGAAGTAGTATGTTTCTGCGAAAATCTTGCGTTCTTTAACACCAAGATTTGACAATGTGCTTGTAGCGATTGAGGAATCGAAGGATCTTGCGATGATGAGTAAAGAGGAGCTGTAAAGCTCTCTTGAGGATCATGAGCAAAAAATAGTGGAGAGAAATAATGATAAGGTAGATGCGGAGATCTCTTTGCAATGTCGCTTCAACAAGAAGGACAAGAGATTGAAAGGAAAATGACCCATGAAGAGTAAAGGAATTTTTTCAGAATTTGGGTAGAAAAGAGTCCCAAAGTTCCAAGAATTCAAATTGTCAAAGGGGTGAGAGCAATTGCAACAAAAATGACAGTCAAGGAAACTTTAGAAGAGGTTTGACAAAAGCAAAGAGCAGTGCTTTAGGTGTCAAAGGTTCAGTCATTTTACAAGAGAATACACTCTTGGTAATCACCACGGAAGGAGAATCCAACAGCAGCAGGTTGTGGGACAGCAGCAGCAACTACAGCTTTGGGAATGCTGCAAAAATAGGTTGTAATGGAAAATGCCATGATGAGTATGAAAGAAGTTCAGTGGAGCGAGGAATGGAATTTTGACTCGGATTATTCTACTCATATGATAGGGAGAAATGATTGGTTTATTAAAATCAATCATGCCATGAAGAATAAAGTGAAGTTTATGGATGATACCACTCTAGCAGCCGATGAAATCAATGATGTTTTGATCATGAGAAGGGATGGTGGAGATTCCTTGATCAAATATGTTTTATACATTCCAGGAATTAAATGTAACCTTCTAAGTATTGACCAATTGTTTGAGAAGGGTTACAAGATTCACATGGAAAACAAGGGGTTGCACATTATGGATGCGAATGGAGTTTTGGTCCTTAAAGCTCATATGGCTGCCAATAGAACCTTTAAGGTTGAGATAAAGGTTATGGAGCATATATGTCTTGCTACAGCGGCAAGTCAAGAAGAGTTGATATGGCACTATCGTCTCGGGCATCTCAATTTTTGAGATCTCAAAGACTTGGAAAAGAACAGAATAGTAACGGGGTTGTCATTGATGGGCATACCGGCTAAATATTGTGAAGAATGTGTGAAAGAGAAGCAACATAAGGGTAAATTTAACAAGGATGTAGATCATATAACCAAGAATCACCTTGAGGTGGTGTATTCAGATGTATATGGACTGATGCAAGTGGATTCCATTTGTAGCAATGGACATTTTGTCACATTCATCGACGATCATAGTAGAAAGTCATGAACATATCCAATCAAGAGAAAGGATGAGGTTTTTGAAGTGTTTAAGAAGTTCAAGTCCATGGTTGAGATGCAAAATGGTCATAAACTCAAAGTGCTCAAAACATATGGTGGAGGCGGATATGTCTAAAAAGACCTTGAGAGGTTTTGATCAAGGGATTGTACATGAGGTAGTACTACCTTATACACTGCAGTAAAATGGTGTTGCTGAAAGGAAGAATCGGTCAATCATGAACATGGTGAGAAGCATGTTAAAGAGGAAGAACTTGTCGAAAGAGTTATGGGGAGAAGCGGTATCTATAGTTGCCTATTTGTTGAATAGGTGTCCAATAAAGAAGCCTGAAAAGGTAACACTGGAGGAAGTATGGTCGGGATTCAAACCAAATCTGAACCATTTGATAGTTTTTGGTTCCATAGCGTACTGACATGCTCGGGGGCAAATTAGAAAGAAGAAAGATGATAAGGGAGAAGTGATGATACTTGTAGGGTATCACTCTGCCGGTGGTTACAAGTTGTTTGAAGCAGCAAAAAGGAGAGTTGTAATAATACGAGACGTCATTGTCGAAGAAATCAAAGTGTTGCATTATCCTATAACCGGTTACGTAAAAGATGTAACCAGTTACAGATTTGAAATTTTAGATTCTGCAGAAACGAAAAGTGTAAAAACTCTTGTTGTCAAAGCCCGGATTGAAGAGAATGTCAGAAGATCAACAAGGCAAAGAGGTTTGCCTCAAAGACTCCAAAATTGTGAGTTGTTATGAGAAAATGAATTCAATGATAATGGTGATTTCCTCCATTTTGCACTTATGGCCGAATTCGGACCCCTTAAACAGAAGAGGCTTTAAGTGATCCAAAATAGATTTGTGCTATGAAGGAAGAGTTGGAATCAATTGAGAAGAACAATACTTAGGAGTTGGTTGATTTACCGCATAGAAAGAAGCCAATTAGTGTAAAATGGGTGTTCAAAGTGAAGGAAAATCCCAAGGGTGAAATAATCAAGCATAAGGATTGATTAGCTGCAAATGGATTCTTGCAAAGAAAATACATAAAAGTTGAAGAGGTATTCACACTGGTTGCTAGGAATGTGAATATAAGGCTAGTTTTTGGTATTACGAACAACAACAATTGACCCATCTACCAAATGGACGTCAAATCTACGTTTTTGAACAGACCGCTTGAAGAAGAGGTGTATGTGTAACATCCCACTGGTTTTGTTGGGAAAAATCAAGAGCTAAAGTTCTACAAGTTGAGAAAAGTGTTATATGGTTTGAAGCATGCTCCATGAGCTTGGAACAAAATAATATATGGTTTCCTAAAGAAGGTTGGTTTTAAGAAATGTGTATCAGAGTATGGAGTGTATGTGAAGAAGGATACAAGTGAATGAGTGGTTATCCTTTGTCTATATGTAGATGAGTTGTTGATAACGGGCAGCAACGGAAAGTTCATTTCTAAGTTCAATAGTAAACTTATGAAAGAATTTGAGATGACCGACCTTGGCCTCATGACATACTTCCTTGGCATTGAGTTTCACAAGTCCAAAAGGGGACTGCTCATGCACCAAAGAGGATATACACTTGAGATATTTAAGAAGTTTTAAATGGAGCATTGTAATGCTGCCATTACTCCAACTGAACCAAGGTTACATTTTTCGAAGAATGCGGATGAGCAAGATATTGATTCAACTCATTATTGGGGTTAATTAAATCCTTACATTATTTTGTGCAATATGCAATCGGTCTTGGCATTTAGTGTCAGTATTGTGAGTAGATTCATGGGGAGACCTAAGGTGTCTCATTTGACAGTAGTCAAGAGGATCCTAAGATATGTCAAAGGTTCTGTTGGCTACAGAATTCTCTTTCCCGTAGCGGATATGGGCAGAAAATACAATTTTCTCGATTTTATTGATTCCAATTGGTATGGAGATAAAGATGATTGAAATTTTGCAGCCATATACATTTTTATGTTTGGTGGAACATCAATCTCATGGTATTCGAAGAAGGAACCGGTAGCTGCACTCTCATCTTGTGAGTCAGAGTACATTGTCGCTTTGTTATGTGTGTGCCAAGCCATGTGGCTTATGAATCTAATGGAGAATATGGGCATCAGTGGGGGTGAGGCTGTTACACTATGGTTAACAA